TCCACACTTCCCCATTCTTCGTGAACCTATCAAGGTGCGGCTTGTGCATGGCCCAACATCCTGGATCCTGGGAGATGACTCGCCGATAACCTGTCAGTGTTTCTTTTTTGTTCCCGTCTTGAGCTTGTTGCTGCTGTCGATCGACGTTCATTCACATATACCTACTTTTCGTACTCCGGGGTGGCAAGCCAAAAACAGTGGGTTTCTAGCATCATAGACCTTGGCTTCAGCTGAGTATAGCATATGGCCAAAGAACAACCCCCCCTGAGATCAGACCTCAAATCTCGCCAAATCAATCCAAATCAAGTCAAGCAAATCGGTTGAAGCGAAAGGGGAATAAAAAAAGTACCTACTAATACGACCGTAGCTCTCGCCTATACCGATTTATCCGCAAAGATGGGCTGTAATAAATTCCAAAAAAAAACCCGCTCTAGGACAGATCGAGATAATAGAGTGTTTGGCATCCCAACACTACGGCGTGATCTACCCTCTCTTTCTCCCGGGGAACGAAATTGGTTGCAAAATGGTTCGAGTAACTATACTACGGCGGGTTAGTGGCGGTACTTTTTGACAGTCGGGGACCTTTTTGTGACAGCCCAATCAAATGTCTTCCTGACCCCCAGTATAGGTCTGTGCTCAGAGTCCAGGGGAAAGGGAACTCGGTACCCAGGACTCTGTCAACGCGTCCATCTCCCGTCCCGGTGGATTACACTGGCGTTTCTTAGGATCAACGCTACAATTTTGCACTATGGGGTCGTGAAATCATCCCGAACAAAGATGTTCATAACGGCCCAAGTTGGTCAGTGCTACCCAAAAAAGGGGGGATAGAATCCAAAACATTCTAACCTCCTATGTCTTGTTTATACTATCTTGACATTACAAAAAAGGGAATACTTGCTCGGTCCCACTATCCATCCACGCTATATCGGGGAAGATGCAAGAGGCAGAGTTTTTTTCTTTCTAATGCACAAACAACTCCAATCTGATTGTATACTTGGCATATTGTATCGATCTGATCAATCTCATCGACATCAAACTACTTCATATTAGTTACTCTGTACAGAGTACCTAAGATTGTAACATTCCAATTGCCGTGCCGTCCACTGCAATAGTATTGAGCTGCAGTACCGCTTGCAAATTGAATGCACCAACCTCCGCGGAAGCAACGTAGCAAATATCAATATATTTTTTTAGATTGGCGCAAGGCGTAGATAGAACAAAGCAGAGTCGAACTAGACAGTTTAAGGGAAACGGTACGGAGTACGTTATTTGTCATTTTGCTGGCTCTTTCAAGGCGCAAAAATCGCAAAACTAGGCATACTCTGATAAGCAATTTAGAAAATATACGGGTCAACGATGACATCCCCGGAGAGTGTTTCTTTGTGTGTGTCCCCCCCCCTCTCATTACTTATTCCCACCGGGGCGGCGGTTTGTTTGCTTTGTCCGCTTAGCCGCCGTGGATTTTTTTTAGCGTGGGGATCAAGTGGGCTTCTCTACTCCGTAAACTACTTCATCTTACAGATAGTTAAAGAAATTAAAATTAAGCAAAAGTCCCCAGTTACATTTCAAATCACGGATTACTCCGAATGTACTGCGGAGTACGAAGTACATACTCCGTACTATATTATTCAATACGTATTTGAATTCGATTTGAATATTAGCTTGGGGTCTAGGCTTTAAACGCCTTCCCCCCTTTTTTTAAAACATGTCAGAGATGATCAGGCTTCTAACATTTGACACTTGCAAATGAAAGCTTTTCATTGGGCGTAAGAGATAATCCCTACCTACCCTACCCAAACACTCGGATTAGCCACAGATCCGCCACAACGTGGCTCAGCTATTTTAAGCACTGCCACAGCCCTGGAAAACCATGATAGCTGAAGAGGACAAAGTGTCCACGGGTCTGTACCATGTATTTACGAAAGGTACATCAAAGAACATTTGAAGCGTTCATGGATATTCCCTGTTCTATCTTAATTTATGTGAAGATTTTGAAACCCAAGACAAAAATGTCAGCAAGTTTGACAGCTTGGCATTGCCAATCCCTATCACACTAGTTTCAGAGCAAACATTTGATGAGCGCCAACTATTTAATCTAGTGGCCGCCATTTCCGCTTACACTAAGATCCAAAAGGGAACTAGGGCTCGGATTTGTTCGGTGATGCAATCACCCTGAAACCCCAAAATGAGGCGTGGGCGCTCAGTGGACTCGGCGGATATGTGACAGCGGGTGTGCACTGACGGGAAGAAAATAACTGGGTGGGGGCTGGTCAGAAGATTGGGGGTTAACTGCAACCATCACACGATTGGAGGTAGGGTTGAAGATTTTGGCGATCTACACTTCCAAACAACTTCATGTCTGTGCCCGTCACACACTTCTAGAACGAGAAGAAAAAAGTCCTGGGCTGATTACAAGGACTGGGGTGGCTTGTTGGGATGGTTCACCGCTACAGGGAGTTTACAAATTTACACAAAGCAATCTCTGGAAGAAAAATTTTCGTGCTTTAAGAAATTACTTTATGTCTATCCTTCGGTTTCGTCCCGAGTTCGTTAATCCAATAGTCAGTTCTGGAGATCGTCTCAACCAAGATAGAATTAAGCGATTTGAAGGAGGGGCAGATATGTGAAAAGGGGGTGGGAGAGTATATTGTATACAAAGTGTGAGTCTGTTCGCAAAATGCTAGCAGGAATAGCGAGACGGTCGTTTCGAGAGTGCATGATCGGTGTGCTACAAAGATACCGTTGAGAGGCAACCTGCGCACATGACAGATGGAAGGCGAGGACATTTCCTCTTTAGGCAAAAGATAGCTGCATTCAAAGAGTATCCTCGTATTAGAGAAACGTCAGGGCCTATCAAACCGACACTCTATTTGGATCTTCGGGACGGACCAAAATGGCACATGACTAGTGCAAATTCTCGAAATCCGAGCCACCGTACGCACGATCGATCAATGATGCACATCGATTCAACCCCCGATCGAGCCCAGAGAGACTGGCATTGCGTCATTCAGCGTCTGTTTTTTGCCGGGGCGTTATGTGGCGGAAGCCGGGACCTGTAAGAGAGGTACTCCCCCACACACAATTTCATAATTTGGTACCTTTTTTGGTTTTTTTTAGGTGTAAGATTGGCAAAGGGGAGGTTCATGGTCAGAAGGACAATGACATTTGGCGCTTGTACTTTGGGCATTGACCAGTAATCGGTCAAAGATGACTTTTCATTCCTACAAACTGTGGAGTATCTCACCCCAATCCAATCTCGCTAGGACCCTGGCCCAGACTCGACCCGACTCGACCCCACCAACGCCAATGAATTTTAGGCGGGTCGGGGATGGCGGACCGGTCAAACTAAAGCTGTCAAAATCCAGATTGGGTCTAGTGTATATTCTCCACTATCCCAAGGGAAAGGTCAAAGTTGAGGATCGTAACTTTTTTGACTTTACCCAGCTGGTTGGAATTGGTGCAGAAACGAGAAAACCTCGCTTCCGTTTTATTCCATTGCTCCGGTTTACTCCATTGTCACATTGGATAACTTCAAGGCTAGAGTTTCAGGAAGCGATGTCGTGCCCAGATGCGAACTATGAGGTATTCCAAGACATCGGCTTACATTCTGAGGGTCGTATAACAAAAGTCCCAATTCTCATGTAGCCTAGTGATAGTGGTGTTGATCATAGCATTTATCCTCAGGGCAGCCAATCCCAATGAGTATTCATTCCAACCTGGGAAGGATATCGCCTATCCTATTGTAAGCCAACATGTAATTACAAATATATGCATTATGTGGTGGCTTTCGATAATTTTGAATACAATTCCAAATGGATATGCAGCCTTTCTATTCCCTGTTGTTTGTAATTAGATGGATACGCAATGAGAATAAGATAAAAAAGCAATGTGAAACAGTAGGGGAGTTATTTCCCCATTGTGGTACGGCCCGAAGGGCCGCCCATAGTGTACCTACAGGTCGGGGCAGCACTACTGCACTTAATCTATTGTTGGTCTCCCATTGTGTTGCAGATAGAATACATGTCTGACTATAGACCTGGGTATAGATGCAACCTCAAAGACTCTTGTCCGTTAACCCCTGAGTCTGTATCGTCTCGGCCTAGTCTATCTAGTCTATTTATGATGTACGAATAATCGACTTCCACCTTGGCAGGTGGCGGCGCAATGCCCAAAGCTATTACGCACAACTCGTACTTTGTGTCTGGTCAGTCTTACCAGATTGGCTGGATTTTCTTCAATGCACTGTTCGCGGTCCACTTTCGGGTTTCGCTTTCGCTTAGCCCTCGGATAATCAGGAGGCACCCTTGCAGCGGAAGATTTCTCCGGCCCTCTCATAACCTGAGTGGGGGAACGTGGAAATCACCTGCATAGAGTGAGTATACGACACATGTAAGGGGAGAAAAGCCATGTTGAAAAGAATTCTATCAAAATGTCAAAATGTCGAAGGATCAGCCCTGGAGGCTTTGATCGTTTCCCAAGGTTGAACCCTTTGGGTTGAAACTCTGATAAACACATCCAATTTCTTGATTTGAGAGTTAGCAGAAAATCCAACGCCAAGTGGGGTTACCCTTAACCACCTAGACAATCTTGGAAGGCTGGAGATCCCAGATTCCCAGATACCTGGATGAGGTGAATAATGGGGACGTGGCTTATCTATCCAATCCATCGGAGTCTTTTGGCCATCTAGAGGTCCTTGCATCGTACTTTCTGTTCAACTTTCACTCACAACCAATCATTGCACTATTCTTCTGTGCACTGGCACTACCTAGTTCCTTTACGTTGATAGTGCAAACTCTGCTAAGGAACTGTAAACTGTTCCCCGGGCCACTCTTGTCCCCAAAGCTTCTTGACGAATCCACCATAGCGGAACCTAATACTCGCGATCGCGTTTATAACTTTCCTTCTCTCTTTTCTTTTCTTTTTTTTCCTAATCCCACATTTCCTTAACCGACAAGATATATCTCGTTACCAGCAATCACGCTAGCCTGTCAGTCTAGTCTCTAGTGTCCGCTCATCTCCGATTCCGCGCACCAATACCACCATTGCAACCACTTACCCAGTGGACCATTCTCTTCCCCGTCGCCTGCAAAGACGGACAAATTGCCCGAAGCAGCACCCGTCAGATCGTCCCTGGAGATCTGTGCTTGGTCCCGATCGAGTGGTGAGGCTGGAACGGATGTCATGGTATATAGACTTTGAAGATCGTCTCCCTTATTCTTTCCTCGGGGAATCCAATGCGGCGAACAAACTGGAGCCCGATGAACTAAGAAGATCCCTTTCGTCCGTTCAATTCCATACCCGATCATGGATAGGGCTTTTGTGGCTCTCTACAAACTCCCCTCACCGGGAAGACCCGGTTCCACGCGAGTACTGACAGTGGCTGGGGTGAAAAACTGCGTTGTTGCGGGGCCCAGCATTGACAAATACTAACTGGAAATCCCTATTCGCCCATAATTAAGGTGCATGCCATTATTACTAACTACTGACTGTGGGCTTTTATGCATCTAGGAACAGATTATGTTGCTTTTTCTAAACAGTATAAAAAGAAACAAGAAAAAAAAGAAAAAACCGATTACGAGCATGAAGGTGCCACTTCATATTCTACCGGCTCCATTAGATTAGCTCATTTCCGGACGGTTTGACGCAAGGAATTATCCACATTGTATTCCGTCTATACGGAGTACTCCGTAGATCCAATCAAGTCGGAACACCCGAAAAAGGCTTTTTTGAGTTCTCAAGCCAAGCATCGATCTGAAGTTTCCCCTCTTGATGATCACGGCCCTAATCCCACTTCCTTCTGCCCTGAAGGCGGGTCTTTAGCCTTTGCGGGCAGAATCCTTGAATCCCGCCACATTGGTACTCTAAAGCAAAAACGGGGGGCATGAGGTATGGGTGCATATAGTTGCAGGAGATTGTCGCGGTGTGCGGTGTTGGTGGGTATGTTCCCACTGTGTGGCTGGCTCCCCTCTTCCCCTCAGGGCTGAGTCGATCGCTTGCAGACGTTCCAATTCCCAATTCGGAGTCTCGACAATTCCAGATGTTTCTTCGAATCTATAGTCGAATCTATATTTGATTGTACTGGAAAATATGCAGATCCTTCATGTCGTTGGATTTTTTTTTTTTGGGGGAATATGGAATAAGTACGGGGTATACAAAATATAACGAAGTAAAAATAAAATCTCTTCAATATATATATATATCTATGTTGTATGTCAGAACTGGATCTCTTCGTATTCAGAGAGAGGGGAAGATGGAGCAGGTACAATGCAGGCCCATATCGTCTTGGTTCGTTACGTTCCTGGAAAAGACTTCCAAATTACTCCGTACAAACTCCTACCGTAAAACATATGTGTAGAACTGGAGCCGCTGAGATGATGCGCCGGTAGTGTGCATAGTGGATAGTCATTACTCTATACAGAGACGGGATCGAATCCCGCTGGTCACACAACCAGCTCTCCAAATCGTCCACCGATGCAAAGCACCATACATTAACATCCATCAACGTACATCAACGTACATCAACGTACATGGGGATGTACGATCGACCTGCTAAGAAGCGGGGATATGGATACTGACGTTCGGTCTCATTCGGCGAGGGGGATGACTGTTACCATTTCGAGTGGAGGCTTTCGGGCTAAGGGCCAAAAGAGGAAGTGGATAAATGCACAGCATGACAGTGCATTAAAGCACACAAATTCTGCAAAAATAGCAGAGAAAAGAAAAAAAAAAAAGAAAAGAAAGAAGAAAAGAGAATTCGGCTGGAGAACAGAATTCTTCCCCGGAGCTATACTAACGGAGAATCCGGAAACCTGATATTTTTTTTTACACGTCCGTGCGGGATCGAGATCCAGTCTTGCAAAAAAGGCATCGACATTACCTCTTTTGTCGACGTACACAACTTGGATAGTTCGCGATCTGAAGAACTGTATTCTTGTCTTTCTGGTTGGTTCATCTGGACATGGCCCATTGAACAAGATTAAGGAACCAGTGCGCCGTGCCCCCTCCACATCAGAGATCAGTCATGCAGAAGCGCGTTTTCTTTGAGGTCATCGACATCCCTTGCCTAGAATCTGGATAGCTGAAACATATTCTCAACGCAGGTCCACAACCAATCAGGTTCGATCAACAAAGATGGAAAGGTCGATAATGCCATATGCCATATGCCATATGGTTTATCATGGTTTAGTCTCGTCCCACGCGAGAAAATATAGTACGTAGATGATATCCCTTGTGTTTCGAAATTGGTCAATCATTACTTGAAAGCTCCATAATAGACATCTGACATGCAACTAAAACCGGGAGTCTGACATTGCCCCTCCTTTTGCCCCTCTCAAGGGCACAAAGTTGATTGTTCCATTTTTCCTTTGAGAGATATATATTTCAGATATTTGGTTATTTTAGAGATTTCAAGAAGATGTTCCTATTCGGGACTGTTCCACCTCCTTATCTGTACAGTTTACATGCATGTACTACAATTCCAACGACCGCGTGGAGAGTCTGTTTTGCAGGCAGCAAGGAGGTGTGCAGGCGCCTCGTATACGTAGTTATTTGAAATCGGCATGTCTAATTTAATTTAACTTTCTTTTCTTTTTCTTTTGCCGGAGAAATATATTCTTAGGATGTGATCGTCGAACCAGACAGAAGGGGGAATTATGTGGCGGAGGAGGGTCTAGGTGCATTGTTTTAATATGTCGAGTGAAGATAGTAATCTTAGCATCATGTCCTTCTCACTAAATAACACACTAGATAAGCAGCGCTTACAATTTGTTATATTGCTAACCCGAAGCCTTGCGAACAGACACCCTGTGATGAGCAGCCAGGTGGCCGACCTTTCACCGCTACAATGAGTTGCTCTTCCGATGGGATATCAAAGATGTCACCGCCACGTTTAGCCCAACACGCTACTGCAGATAATCATCCCAGACGATGACTTTGGACTGGGAAAACTGTCTGTTCATTTAGTTTGATGCATAGTTACGTTGTTTAGTTGTTCGCTGGGGTCTAGACAATATCCATTTGGGGGGGCGGGATTCTAGCTAGTCCAGTAAACTTCAGGTTATTCGCATATCAACACGCTGTGCACGGCAATTTGACCAAACTGTCAAGGCAAAAAATAAAAAGGCAAGGCAATGTCCAAAGTAAAGAGAATCACTTTTTTTATCTTGTAGTTCGCAGGGTCAAATCCAATCAGATGTCCTCGATCATAAATCAAGGCAAACCATCATCCCAGCATGAAACACAACAATAAGATTCGAGGAAAGCATATTAATTTTTGGGAGGGGAATTCAAACATTTAGCCGCTTTCCACTGTTCGTTTATGCCTGTCCATCCCTGTCAGGGGGGGTCTCCTGAACTGTGCAATGAAAAACTTTTCTTCAAGTACATGTACATGCATATATGCACAGACGCCCGCGCCACAGTCAGGACACCTTTGTCGCGTTGGAACGGTCAGCAAAGATCTGTTGTCAATTGTCAACATGACCCATGCAAGCAGCACTCAAGCGATAGTGCATCCGGGACCTCCTAGGATCGGCCCGAGGTACCAAAAAAAGAAAATCCGGCCTCCCCGAACCACTCAGAGCTGCATGGATGGGGTCCAATGTTAGGTTTTAGGTTCAATGCTCTCAGGTGGGCTGGCTGGCTGAGCGATCTTTGTGTCATGAACAGGAAATGCGGGGATTTAGGCCACTGCGAGCGATTGGATCCTACGCTATTGCGAGGAGGCAATACCACCATCGTTGTCGAGCAGGCCGGCCTCCTTGGCGAGCTCGTAGAACTGGCCGCCACTCTTGATCAGCTCTGCAGGTGTGTCGAATTCAGCCACTCGCCCCTTGTCTAGAACGATAATCCGATCGGAGTCAATGATCGTGTTAATGCGATGCGCAATCGTGATGATGGTCCGGTCAGAGAAGATGCTGCTGCGCAGGGTACGCTGCAGCAGCGCATCCGTCTCCACATCAACTGCAGCCTATCGCCATAGTTAGCTGAAAACTGTCATTTAAAAGCAAAGACAGAACTATCTTACGGTTGCCTCGTCTAGAACAAGGATATTGCTAGGAGTCAAAAGAGCGCGAGCGAGAGATACCAGCTGGCGCTGGCCTTGACTCAAGTTGGACCCTGCAATAATATGTTAGGGGACTGGATATCTTCGCCAATGTTTAGATGCAGTTACTGACCTCCTTCCTGGACCTGGGCATCCAGTTGTCCGTCCATCCTCGAGACATGGTCCTTCAGTCTCGCGTGATCTATTTATTGCACACCGGTTAGTCGCTGGTCGGCGATAAATGGAATAGGATTCAGATTAGACCAACCTATAACGCTCCAAAGCTCGGTGTCGTCGTGGACATGACGAGGATCCAAGTTATCACGCAAAGTGCCTTCGAACATGGCGGGATCTTGAGGAATGATAGCGAGGCGTCCACGAAGGTCAGTCAAACCAATTGTAGACACATCAAGCCCATCAATACTAAATTCTTGTTAACCTAGGTCAGACAAAAGAGGTGACAGTATTATCTTCTCACCTGATGTTTCCTTCAACACCCTCAATAATCCGGAACAAAGCCAGAGTGAGCGAACTCTTTCCGGCGCCCGTTCGGCCAACAACACCGATCTTCTCCTTAGGCTTGATGTTGAGACTAATATCCTTCAACACAAGGTCAAGCCCAGGACGATAGCGGGTGCTGTAGTTATTGAACTCCACCGCACCTTGAGCCGGCCAGCCGATGGCAGGGCGACGCTTGAAGATGACATCGGGTGCCTCGCTCGGGAGATTGGCGTACTCGAGAACTCGCTCAACGGACACGATGTTAGTCTCAACCTCGACAGTCTGGCGAACAATCCAGTTCAAAGACTGCGTGATCTGGAGAGCATATGACATGGCCAAACCGACCATGCCTGGCGAAAGCTTACTGCCAGTCGCAACAGACGTAATCGCAAGTCCAGCAGATGCAAGAATAATGATTGAACCAATGAACTCAAGTCGAACGGCAAGCCAGCGATTGGAACTGATGGATGGGAAGTAAGCCCGGAGGTTAGCATCCATGCGCCATTCGTTCTCAAGGGCGAACCGATTCTCCTGTCGGTAAGCACGGATGGTCGAGATGCCGCCCAAGGATTCCTGGAAGTGAGCGTAGATCGGGCTTCGAGTGACGCTGTCCAGACGCTTCAGCTCGCGGGAGGTACT